AAAACGAGGAGTCTATCGTCAACCGACAGCGCTCCCAAACAAAAAGAATACATTAACTGGGAATAAAATAAAAAGGAGTATTACTACGGTAACAGGATCACAAGCGGAATTACGACAGACAATCATTTTGGGAAGGCAGACTATCTTTGTCAACTCCAGGTGACCGATCCTAAACTCCGACACAATCCACCCCGACTTCTTACAATGATGACTAAAAACCACCCAACATAAAATATATAACCCCAAAATTCCCAGCCCAGAAGAGTACATAAAGGATAGTCGCACAGGAAACCCTTAAAGAAAAGAAATAAAGGATAGATATGAAGGGCTCTGATCTTCGAGCAGGGAATTGTATCCGAAAACGAAAGAAAGGCTCGATACAACCACTAAAATGGACCATCCAAGTCCCCAACCAACCAACCCGAAAAATTGATCACCGACCAATCCATAACGGCCCAGGAATTAGTTTAAATCCCTCTAAATCGCCCATCCATATCCTTTCGTTCATACATTCAGGGAGATACTGTCTGAAGTACCACACATGGCCCGACATATTTTGGTGCTAATTTTGCCGACAATTGTTATGAAGCGTCGGATTGAGGGAAATTCCTACGGTAAACCTTATCTCCAACATTGTAGATAACAGAACGACGTTTCAAATCATAGTAGCGCTTATTCTGGAGTGCCGCTTTCTGTAATTTAAGTCTACCCCCACAACTCTATCTATGAACCTTTGCCAGGTTGACGGTGCTGTATGCAGACCAAACGGAAATTTATTGATTTGAAATACCTCACGCGACGGTACCGTGAATGCACTTAAGGGACGATATTGCTCATCAAGAGGAACTTGCCACTTAATATCTAGGCTCGACAGGACGTAACGAGCACCTCTTGATCTGTCTAAAATACTAGAAATGTAAGGCAGCGGATAAGCATCGCGCCTAGTAACCTTGTATTTAATTGCCGATAGTCTACACAAAATCTCCACACACCGTAAAATAATGCACAGGGCACCTCATTTAAAAAATAATAATAAATAATTAATTATGTCTTTGTTTCTCTAAATTTTACTTGATACCAATTTTCAAAGTGATCGGACGTTTCTAAATAAAGTTATCGTGCACACAGACGAACAGATAGAGGGGGTATAGACGGACAGATAGCAATATAATATTATAGAGGATCTCGAAGATCTTTAATAATTTTAAGGATTGCTAGTGACTTGCCTAAGGGAAATAAATTAGTTTTGCCTCTCGTGCATCCATAATTGCCTAAGGCCGGATGTCCACCGCATCGGAACGACCAAGATCGGTGCGATTTGAATCGCCCGATAAAGATCGCGCGCGTGTGCTCCTATTGAAGCCTCTCCACAGGCTCGATTTTTGTCGGGACCGATCGAAATCGCAACCGACTATTTTCGCCCGACCCGACGTGCTTGAACGATCATTTGTCGGCAGTCGTGTGTCATAATAATCAAAAGTGCTGGTAATCTTTTTTCTACCGTCACACATCTTCTGTAATTGGTGTCCCTTTTGGCAATTAATGGTCGAGCAATGTCAGCCAAAGGAAAAAACTACTCTTGGACATACGATACATACATTTAAATTTGTGTTCATGATTCGCAAGTTCATGGGCACAAATGAAAGCACCTCTGTTTCTTTTATTAGTTATGTACGGAAGAACCCAATAACTGTGGCGGCGAATTATCTTTCGCCTGTGGTGCAAAAGCATGACAACTGCTTCACTTGACATTTTATTTAATGTCAACTGTCAACCCGATAAAAATCGTTCGAAAGGCGATCTTCCTATGGACATGAATTGCCAATTTTAGTCGGCCCGATCAATCTGGATACGACTACAGTTGGACCGATCTTCGTCGCCCCGATTCGGTGGACATCCGGCCTTAGAACATGCAATTAATAAAAAATAATAAGCAATGCATTGTTTATTCATTATTTAAACAATGCCCAAGAAGTTGAAGAATGTACAAACATGTTATCTGCTCAGATATCATTTAAATGATGTTCTCTTCTGCACGTAATGTCAATAATTGTGTTTCAAAGTAAAACAATAAGGCCGGATGTCCACCGCATCGGGCCGACGAAGATCGGTACGATTTGAATCGCGCACCTGCATTTCTACTGAAGCCTGTCAACAGACTCGACTATTGTCGGGACCGATCGAAATCACAACCGACTATTTTAGCCCGTTGTCGTCAGTCGTGACAGTTTTTTTTTTTTTCTGTTGGCAGGCTTCAGTAGAAATGCAGGTGCGCGATTCAAATCGTACCGATCTTCGTCGGCCCGATGCGGTGGACATCCGGCCTAACGCTCTAAATAATTTCTAGTAGTTGTATGCATTCATTTCAACGATAGGACACTTATTGAAACCGTCCCCCAATTATTATGTCCACAGTGAATTGTAAACGTTAGAATTTAGTCCGTACAGGATGCTCCAATTATGCATTTAATTACATTACAACGAACGTTGATCATTCACGATAGGGTGCTCCAGTTAAATAAATATTTGTTATCCGTTCAGTATGCACGGGAGGCTTGCTGGATCCTGGTAGATATACAACGGAACAGATTATTCATACTTTTCGCACGATTTAGTAGTGCCTACCTTTTTACTTTTTAATGATTAAAGCCTAACATACCTACATATTTTATACAATGTGTTCCTAATGTGCATACGGAGGATGCTAATTCTTTTCTTTATTTTATAACTAAAATCTCATATAAACACATAGGTTCGTAAACGCTTCGTTATCGATTCACAGGGTGTAGAAACGAAACGTTTGCGAATATATGTTTATATTAACTTTTAGTTACAAAATCAGTCAACGTCTTGTGAGAGAAACAGAATCTTCATTTTGACACATTTTATTTATATGAACATATCGCTGTGTGCAATGCCAAACGGTTACTAAGCTACTAACAAAACACCTGTCGAGATCAATGTAATAAAGTCTCTCATAAATACATGAAAGTTGTAAAATCCAGAATCGTAATTTGAGCTCAAACTGTTCATTTGCACACAACACACATTTATACGTATACTTGCTGTAAAAAAAACATTAGAACTCAGGGCCAGAGAGAAATACTACGCTACAAGCGCTCGATTGACACAGGTTCAATAAAGTCCCATTAAATAGACGAAAAAAAACACTAAGCTGAATTCGTGAAACAAAATTTCCCGTAACTCGAATTCGATAATTACATCCGAAAACCGATAAGCCGGAAGCTTCAATTTAACAAATTTCATATTCGATTCCACTTCCTTTCCCTTTAATTATAAGACCCAAATTCTCTTATCTAAAGTGCGCACCTGCGACAACATTTGTCTACCTAATTAACTATCTTTTAGCGATAAGCGCAACTCTTATCTACGACCGGAGAAAACATGAGATCAACTTTTTAAATATTACGCAAATAACTTCGGAATGTTTCTTTACCATTAAAAAAACAAAATAGACAAAATCACAACAAAAATTAACCATCATCTACATACACTACCTAAATTAACACAACACTATACACATTAAATTCTGTGGGTTCCCAAAGAGCCTGCAAGTTCGCAAAAAGTGCTCTAAATTCCCAGATATACAAATTCAGTTAAATTTGTAGATTAATATTAAAAAATCGTTAAAAGAAAGGTATAAAAAAAATAAATGAAATACAAAAAAAAATATGGAGCCCTAGTTTGTCAAATTATAAAACGTCGGCGATGTTTAATTCAGTATTAATTTATAATGCAACCACATTTTCAAGTTCAACAAATGAGATGACGAATTTTAATGATTTTTTGTGCATTATTTAATTTTTCATGCATATCTTCATGCTTTTTTGCCATACCTTTTGTGCATATATATGTGCATTTTTGACGTGTTTTCATGCATATGCAAGTCCGGCCCCTAGTAATATATCATCACCGAAATATGTGACACACTGTCCTGTACTTCCAATATGTTACACCCTGTACACCACTGCAATTTAAAAACTAATAATACGCAAACGACCCTTAACTCCTCCACCTGGTACCATTAGGGATATAAATAGTGTACTATTAAATAATAATTGTTATGAGATAAAGTATACCTACCCAAACAGTCACGTTGTTACCCACAATCAAATTTTCATTCCCTCAATTTTGTGTTTTGGAAGAAAGTGTTGTAAGCGTTCTCTCTATAATTAACGGAGGAATAGGTTTATGTCGGTAGCATCTGAGCGCGTTTAAAATTACTGCCTGTTCCCCGATGTAATAAAAGGCGCTATCAGCATTTTACATTCCAAGCTATTAAAATGACAAGAAAAGGATAACCAACCACCAACGTTGAGTTTGAGTTTTTGATATGTCACTTTCAGTTACATTGGCATTGTTATGCTTAATCTGCTTGGAGCAATTTAAGAAAATAAAAGCGGGGGAATGATAAATACGTAGGTAATTAGTTTATTCCTATTACGATAAATAGGTGCTGGAAAATTAATTGTTCGGAAGAACGCGAAAACTGTCGCCCGCGAGCCTAATTTTTAAAGGTTATTGATTAGAATTTCAAATGAGGAGTAAGCGCACCAAGTAATTTGAGTTTATTTATAATTACCTCATTATCGCGTTTTATGAACCCCAACTTTTCGAGTAATTTAGTTTCTGTAATGAATATTTCCATGAAAAAGTGATTTTTGTCTTCCGGCATTGTACGCTTGTGATTATCGACGTATATGCGCCCTCAATCGTACTTTATTACGTGTCCGTACTAACTTTAATGGTTAGGGATTATCGTATATCGAATGTATATGGCACTTGAAATTCCTATTGCCTCGCTCATTATTTCGTTAACTGGGTCAGCTCAAATAGTACGCATAAAAAATTGATGAACCATTGATAAAATATAAAGCTTTTACGCATGTTAAAATCGTTTACGAGATCAATCAAAAGAAAAGATTCTTACATAATTGGTGTCGTTCATGTTTTATTTTTCATGTGATTGCCTTCCATTATATGACACGAATATTTGTTTGGTAATTTTTGCAATTGCCTTCAACTATATTCAAAATTTTCAGAGTTCAGTCGACCATCCAAATATTACGGCCGTCGGCAGCCGCAAAGAAGATTTGGATTGCTTTACTTCAAGCTTTTGGTTCAGTTTTCAGTTTACCACGTGATTACACGTAAGTTATGTCTCTAACATAAATAAAAAGGCGGCAACTTTTTATTGTTGTAGGTTACACGACAGGTTATTGTTTGTAATCAAGTGAAGAGGCCGTGTAATTCATGGCGTTGTAAACCCGCTTGTCACCCGCCTCAATTTACAGGTTTTCCTAGCACAAATGAACCAAATAGGACTTTTTATTGAGTTCCGTTGGCTGAATGAAGTATCAACACGTACATTGATGTCTAATAAAGGAACGGCGTTAATAAGATTCTTGTAATGCCTGTGTCTCTGTAGAAAAAAGAAAATTAAAGTAACGGTTCTAACAATCAAATAAAGAATTTATAATATCTATCTGCACTACTCTACTGTTCGGTTTTGTAGCTCGGGCGCCATTTGTAAGGTGTGTTGCGAAATTGCCTTCGGGAGCTCAGGCCGGCTGGCCAGAGGACAAAAGAGGCAATAGTTTTATGAATGATAATGATATTGTATTACAAAATAGGCAACCTTTGTTGCATCAGTTGTTCCCGATCGATTCGGTGGTATTGTTGCGGCTGTCCAGCTCGTGAAAACCGCATCTCGATATCTTGTTCGTAACCTAAAATTTAGGTAAAAGAAAATTTTATACCCTCAAATTTTTTTTATTTTAAGCTAATTTTTCCGGAAATACTTTTATTATATAATTTGTGGCCCTAAGGTGGATCGATTTAAAAAGTGAAGCTTTTAATGTCGCCGTAAATGCTCAAAATGCTGACCATCACGATACATATCTATATATATCTCAAGATATCGAGATGCGGTTTTGGCGAGCTTGTTTAGGCATCATATAGCTTCTTTTTCATGAAAAGAAAATCAAACCAACGCATTTTTTTGAGAAAATTAACCATTTCTGTCGGATTGTTGAAAAAAGCCCCCAATCGGCGATATGTGAAACTAATAAAATTTATTACACTTATTATTAAATGTTATAATATTTGTAGCTGAAGAATAGCTCTTTTGAACTTACCCGAGTTTGTTTAAATCGGCTTAGCCGTTTCGAAGATACAGGGTGTTCTTTACGGAAACCTTTGAATACCCCCCACCACTCATTTTTAGAGATACAGCAAAATTTGTTAAACAAAAAAGGTTCAGATTATCGCAGACTTCTAAGCCGGGCATTTTTTTGTTAGGTTAATATAGCGGAATTCACAGAAACATCACTTTTTTAGATCCCAGATTGCAGTTACGCCTCCTAGCGGCCACTTCAGAGACTTAACAATATTTTCCAGGTTTTTCTCGTGGTCGTTTTAGTAATAACTTTTTTTACCGCAAGGCTCTACGATGGATAGGTTCTCAGATACAGTACCTCGCATTCTTATTTCACCACCCTGTAATTGCACATAAGAAATGTCGTGGAATGCTCTCAATTTTCGTTGCCCGGCCAAAAATTGCAGTAAAATTGTTTTTTCGAATTTTGCAAAAACTAGTTTCAGATTGGTGATTTTCATGTTCAAAACCCTGGGATACCAAGTTGCATCGAAATCAGAATTTTTTTCGCAACCCCGTTCAGCGGTTCGCTTTTTCGTGGTAGGAATTCTGAAATTTTTTTGTAAAATCGGAAAGGGCATACTCCAAAACCTATTCGAAGACGTGCCACCAGTCTTTCTAACTTTATGGTTTGCTGAAAAATAAATTAAAGAAGAAATGTAAAGTTCACGACTTTCATGAGGGTGGCTCTCAAATGAAACACGATGGCCACTAGGTTTATTTGGAAAAAGCGCTTGTTTCGATCCCTCCTACCACTAAATTTTTTTTACATACCTATATGTAACACCCTGTATAGGTGATTATACAATTCACAAATTCTTCTGCCACCTTTGTTCTCCAATTTTGCGTTATCAAGATATATTGTTAATTTAAAAAGAAACATCTTTTCGAGCTCCTTTGTATCAATTTTCATATCATACCGCACCTAATCTCATCTCTCATTTAAAAGTGCCACTTCTAGTTCCATAGATCTCAGTAAAATCGTATAGCAATTCATTTTTTGTGATGAGCAACGAGAATCGTAAGGTACAATTTTACTATGAAATTTAATTTAGTTCACTTCGTTCTACTGCATTTTATTGAATTCCATAAAATAATGCAATCTCGGCCGAATGCACACTTTACTACCGAGCTGTCAGTAAAATTTTGAATGAAGGTAAACGTTTCCAGATGACCATCCGGCGTAAGCAATTGCCTCGATTTAACGACGACAGGACTTGTTTTTTTCAGATTTGTTCTTGAAGTTGTGATTTGGAGTTCTATAAAAGTTTACTCCAACTAACCTTTTTAGGTCAAATTCAATTTTTACGTCACATCCAAACGTTATTGCCAATAACAGTTTTAAATGTCCGGTGCTCTTCAAGTATAAGGCACTTAAAACGGCAATGAAGTTTATATGTAATTAAAGGGGAGTAATAGTGTTTGCTTTGTCATAAGCACGTAATTGCAGGTTGTATTTTAACCCTTACTAGATTTACTGCAAACGTTACTGTGCAGGAAATGCACTTTGGAGATAAAAATTATCGATGTGGGAAATTGTTTCTTTTTTACTTTCCACTCATAATATATCACTATATACTGAAGCGGAGAGCCAATCATAATTTATAACTCTCGCGTGGATTTCATTATTGATCTAAGTAATCGCCTAGAATTTCGTATGTATAGGACCAACCGTTTTCATGGCTGATTTAACCCAACTTGATGAATAACTGTCGCCATCACGTTAAACTGTCCTTTGCCACGGATCTATACAACATTAATTGAACAGTAGCCAAGATTAATGTCGTAATGAAAACGTAAAGAATAGATGCCATCTGCCCACGGTGGACGAAACGTTGTAAATATATTCATATAAATTTAAGTTAAGAAACAGCTTATATACATTGAAATAAACCGGCGTTATTGTTCAAAATCAGCTAACGTGTCAGAACAGTTAATCCAATGGGAATAAACTTCAGTGATTCGTACAGAATGGTCTTAAAATATTGCAATTCAGTTACAGTAATGTTGGAGTTATAGTTATCTCACTCACGTTTTAGTTCAATGATCGGTAAAGTTTGCTTGCTTGTACACAACATCAAGGAATCACACGGGGATTAGATACCTATCAGAACTGTTCATACGGCAAAATCCAGTTGTCATTCATTAGGCATGGTGATAGAGAGACTAAAGGACAATTTGCAATCAGTCATACCGGAACTGAATAGGAATAATAGCACAAAGCACACATTCTAATTTAACGAAAGTATACATTGTGTATGAAATCGAGCATAAAAGTAAATCATTTCCAAACAAAGGGTTACGCTAAAAGCAAAAGCCAAACCTTTCAAATCTCTAAGCAGCAATGCTTTCCTTAACAATTCACTGGAGAGTAGAAACACGTCTCCGAATCAGACCCAATCATCGAGCTGAGCGGGAATGTAGTAACGAATGTGAAAATTCGCTTCAGCTAACAATTCAGTGACAATCCGATGCATTTACTTATTGAGCTCCTTATTAATAGTTATTTATGTATTAAGAGCATAATCAAAATATTATGGCACGAGGGAATGTTTAAAGCTTTTAATTTCTCGAGGGCCGATATCGATTATGCCCGTAGTACATACAGAGTTTTATTCTATTTTAGCACGGAGTTAAAAGGGATTAGTAGTTCTTGCAGGAATTTGTCGCTACCCAAATATTAGTGGTGTGCAGCTCTACATATTTGACGTTTTTTATGTTGCTGTGGATGCTGGAACTGTTTACCTAAAATACCTAAAATTGTATTGTATATTATACCTGGTATACAATTTTTATTACATAAACGGTCAATATACACGTTAAACCCAGCATATCTCAATTTAGTAGACCAAGAAGTTAACATAACCTCCTACAAAAATTACTTGTCATCTATGTAATAAATAAATAATAATAAAGAAAGCAGTCACATAACATTTTTTAGTTTCGCGTACTTAAGAATGACGAAATATAAGTAATAATAATAACACCAGATTTCCAGGAAGTGAAGTGACCTTTTAATTAAGATTGTGGAAATTTAGGCCTTCTTCCGCAAATTTTTTTATTCAAAACGCGTTACTAAGGGCTTAAGGTGTCCTCTATCCATTTTAATTAATTTCATGATCATTCCTGGGGGGCTTATTATCCAAAAAGAATACAGCAAGTTTTTCGAGTGACGGTGTGCTAAAAAATGTAGACAGAAATTTGTGATGAGACCCTCGTAATGGCGTACTTGTCACAAATGGAAAGAAATTGTATTTTAATATCAAATATTTATTAAATTATTCTGCTTAATTTGTTCTGGCCTCAAGTTTATAAACCCTCGTGACTTTAGTGCACCTATTCCAAGCAAAAAAAGGTGCTAAAAATTAAGGAAAACGATGATATCTCGAAATTGATAGTGATAAACGAACATTGAAGCAATTAACGTGGATGACGGTCAGACAAGGTAGCCGAAGCAAATTCTCTGCAGAGCAAAACCAAAATTGCTCAGAACTACTGCGGAGGAGCTGCGATAAACATTCCACAAACGAGTGAAGGGAAGTTTAGATGTTGGTTTTTGTGATGTTACAATTTCTAATCCAAGAAATTGCACTTTTAATTTCCAGAAGTAACGTGATTGTATATATTATTGTTGTGAATAATAAATGTTTGATGATTAAAGCAATCGTTGCTAGACAATTTTTGACAGTTCTGTGTCATAAAGTCCAATTAATTTTAGTCCGAGAGCTGGTAGACTTTTTTAGGTAGGTATTTGAGGCACGGTGAAAACTTGCCCAATACTTCTCCAATAATAGAACGAAATATCGAAGGATCCGCAGTATTACAATCACTTTTAACGATAATTTATTTTAGTCTTATATTTTATAGTTGACAAAAATGCATCAAATTCATGTTTTAGTCATTGAGATAATGCTCTTGGTCTGTTTCCCAACGATCTTGGTACATAAATATCGATTTTGACAAAATTTAGCGCCATTTTTAGCGCATTTTTGCACATTTATTTGTAAAAAGGTAGCTTTTAATCTCACTTTGACCGGCTGGTTGGCTGGCTGGGGGCAAATGAGGGCCAGTGGAAGAACGTTTATATAGAAAGACGAGTGGTGTACATGTACGTGTAATTAACATCTTTAGGGACCGGGCTACATGGTATCGGCGGCATCTGGGCGTCCTCCTCAACTTAGAAATTTTTCAGATTTTTTCTATCTTCTTCTACAGTGTTGGTCCTATTGTTTTAAAATTTTGTTTTTTCCTAGGTACGAAATTAACCACGTTTTGCAAGGCGCGCGTTTTCGAGGGGTAGTCGACTACTGGCGCACAAAAGGTATCTTCCGCTGCGAATTTTGGCACGCGGTTTAAAGTTTCTTAAAGCTCGGGGTCTCTCTTTCTCGTGCCGCCAATAGAAGCCCGAGTTATGAGAAGAATGCGAATTGTGGGTGAACGAGACGTCGGAAGCGGGTATCGACAAAGGGAATGTGGTTGCCCTCGACAAGATCTTGCTGATGGTAGAGTCAAAACTTCAAACGCGCATTGCGAGTGAACGGAACGTCGGTAGCGGGTAAAAATTAGCTAACCGTGGAAGAAAAATTTAACTTTTCGGTAAAGAGTTAAAATTTACGAGTAATAAAACTTAACTCTGAAATATAAACCCTGTTCCAAAGTCATAAATCGAGCAAGGTGAGAAACTAGAGGCATCCAAAATATGCTTGAAATCTCATTTGAATTTCATTTAATTGAAGCGTACTATTCTTTAAGCTGTAATCTGGTATACGACAATTTTCCATCGATTGTTGCTTCATATTATTAGCAATGTTATTTAAAAGGTATGTAGATGCAGTTCAGTTTATAAAGAAAGAGAGGTTACCTTTGATTTTCTTTTAGGATATTAATTGCAGGGGTTCAAGTGTTAGTTCAAAATCTAGTTTTAATTGACCAGCTTCGGTTTCAGTTTTGGAGACGTTTTACGTACAATCCTTGTTCGGCATACAAATTTCAATAACCTTGGATAAAACTCACCATTGCGAGTGCCAACACCATTGACCTGCTGACAAAAAGCGGCCATTTTCTGGAATTGGGTCACCGGGTCATGAACGAGATTTGATAGCAAGAATCGATCCTCAACAAAGAGACAACTTCCGTAACTTTTAGCGTATTAGTATTAACTATTATGCTATCACATTCAATTAATTTGTTCAGTACTCGGTTAAGTTATGATCGGGTTAGATACGTGAATGCTATTAATTGGAGTCCGCCACTTCCTTCTGAAGCGGTTGGCCGATTAAGTACCGTACCTGTGATAGAAACTTAGTACGAGTAAAGCAAGGTCCTTCAGGCGTTGGTCAATTAATTAAGTACCGAGCACTGTGGCTTTTCTTTTGTTTGCAGGTTTTGGGATCCGAGGACTGAGCTCACTTCTTGGCGTGACCGTTTAATTTTATGCAAAGTAAGCGTTGCCTTAACGTTTTACTTGTAGTAGGCCCTATACGTACGAATTGTTGCCCGGAGTATCAATCTATTTGTAGGAACTTGTTTTTAGATTCAGTAATCAATTTAATCGATCATTCTTGATTGGAGGTTTGGTCAATTGGGAAATTTTAATTGTAAAGTCAAGTTAATAAGTCCGTGAGTAACCTAATTCCTAATTTAGAGCATTTTGAATTTAATATTCGATTATAAACCAGTATTACCTAATTTTGGTACCTAAATTGATTTGTACTGCTAATACTCCCATCGTATCTTCTCAATTTCGTATGGGGGGAGTTAAATTAAAAGTTGAGTGGTGCTCAACCATTGGTAAGTTCAACGAATGATGAAGAGCATTTTATCCAGAACGAACTACCACTGTAATAGATCTCAAGCTTGTATTTTCTAGCTTAACCCTGAGCTATCTGGCCGTTTATGCGGAGGGTTTGTGGACACGCAGCGACAACTAATAAGTTCTACGTGTTTTCTCTTTTACAATTTTTCAAAAACACTATTATCAAAATTCTTCCCCGAAGAGATGTTATAACCTTGTTATTTATTCGAAATCGTTTCACGTGCATTTTCACCTCGACTCGATTACTTCTCCTTTTTTAACTGAAACTTGCGCAATTGGCACGAATACCGAAATACTAGCTACGCGATTATTTCGACACCTATTTGATTTTTTCACTCCTCAACTCAGCAACATGTGGCGAACTGTTGAAATGGTAAACATACTGAGGATGGTCGTCAGCTGTCATCTACGTATCATTACTAAATTGACGGAAAAGATGTGAGGAGAGGTGCTATAAATAGGAAAAAGGAGGATCGCAGTAATTGGAATAGTTTATCCGTTTGGCTTTTCCTCGAAACAGGTGTTTTCCTATTGCATACGTGCCCACCACAACTTACAAATATCAAAAGGAATACAACGGTTGATAAAGTAGAACAGACATTCAAAGGCAAAGAGAGCGGGCGGAAAACCATCTGGGACTTCCACCGCATTACACGGGCAACAAATATATTTTCCAAAAGGGCATGGAAACAAAAACCGATATTTTCTTTTTGTCAGGAATTTCACAGGCAAGAGTGGTTTACTAACCAATTACATTTAAAACGGACTACTGAATGCAAAGGAATTATTTATAGTTTAGCGCTGTCATTGGTTATATTTCAATAGTTTACCGTTTACTGGTGGTTGGTTTCTCATAATATGAGGAGACCCTTTTCTCATAGGCACGTTAGTAATCTTTTTATATACAGCGAATTCGGCAGACTATACGGAAAGTTACTCCCAGTAATTACAGCAATGGGATATCTACTAACGAACACGGAACATCTACATAAGTGTGGAATTCACTAGTAGAATTTTTCATACCGTGCGGAAGCATGTGCTTAAAGTTTAGGATAAATATTTTTCTTAAATAATCGCGTAGTTTGTATTTTAATTTTATTTTATTGTTCATATAGAAAGATAAGAGATATTTGTAAATAATGTTTTGTTAATGTTAAATCTGGCGGTTGCTATAATAAATTTGTTATCGCTGCCAAAGCTAATTAAATTTCAAGATAAGCACGTGTGATCGGAGAGTTAAGCAGATGTTAGTGTTTTCGACACGCAATAATTTGATAATACACAATTACACAGGTGATGTGCTTAATCATATTCTAGTCGCAGTTAGCAGCTTTTTTCTTCATTTGCAGTTATGTGTCGCAATGAAATTTTGTAGTAGGCATAAAAAAAGACCCCGCATGCACTACCTCCAAAAAATGACGCAATTTTTCCACTCTTGTAAACAATTGATTGGTTTAACAAATGTGGTTATTTAATACTCCTGCAAAGGAAGAACATTTTCAAGACGTGTGCTTCGATAAACCATACGATAATAGGAGGGCTACTAAAAGAGTTTCGCAAAACGATGCGAAAAAATAGTTAAGTATTTGCCAATTTTCATTTATTAGTTGTGATGGAAAGAGAGTTTCTCTATTCTTTATTAATTTAATGGCGATGGAAGCGAAAGAGATTATGGAAACCAAATAATAGAAGAGGAAGCCTTTGGGGACAGCCAGTGTACCGAAAAAATGAGCCGAAGGATAGCGTAGCAAATAAGAAGATTTAGAATTGCACAAGAATTGCTAGTGACGATTGATGAACCAACTGAGGAAGGTCAATGAAAAACCCACGTGATTAGCTCGAAGAGAATCGGGGACCAGATTGGTTGGAAAATTAAATATTCAATTTCATTGATCCAGACAGATTTCAGTCTTTACAAATGAAGAGTCGAACCCATACAAGGTGCAATTGGTCAATTAATCGGTATTATTTGTATGAGGATGGTTTTATTGTAAGGTTAGGTCGCTCCTCACAATTTTACAGTACCCTTTTGAACCCCCTTGATTTAGCTGGACCTGTGGTAGGGAAAGTTGTTTTTTTCCCTCTCTTTTCATTAATTCATTGGAGCGTGTTTGACTTTCTTAAAAATAACCGTTACAAGGGATCTCGTTTTATATGGTTATTTTTGTCATTTAGACTTTTAGGCGACCAAGTACGGTGAACACATTTATCAAAAAATGGTATACCATCTTCATTCTTTATTCAATTATTCGAATTTAAATTTCTTTACGTCGTTTTCATAATTTACGTACTGACATTATTGCAATTCATTGCAGTTCACAAAACTTCCAAATAGGTTGGCAGCTATAAACGTTAATAATAAAACAAAATTACTAGCAACCATCTGTTCTAAAGGGGTCATTTAATAAAAACCCCGCAATGAGAGCAATTTCACAAAATTAAACAATAAGAACATTTTGAAACCACCGTTTGGTATCATCACTTGCAGCCCTTAAATTGAAATAGGAACAAAGTAATTGAAAATCACGCTTGTCTTGAAAAAGATCCGTTCGGAGATTTACCGATGTCTAAATTTCGCCACAGAAACCTTAATGAAATGTATAGTTGTTATTTATCACTTTAACGTTATTCAATTTACTTTCACTTGAGGTCGTCAATTTGCGTCGTCGAATATATACCACTAAAATCTCTTGCGCTGAGTAATTGGAACAAGAAATCCTAACGGCAAATTCGCGAAAATTCCAAGTCGTATTCGTTAAGAATTCGCTGCCACAAAATTATGGAAATCCTTTCGGAACGAGTTCATTGATCACTGTCGTACCGTAGCTAATCCATCAATTTTTTAATTTAGTCCGTATAAACCGCACTTTCACGTGGTGTATTATGATATAACTCTCCTCACGATTTATACAAATCACGGCACCGTCGTAATCATGTTCTTTACAATTCATTTGGAAATGCGCCCTAAAATCCCTCATAATGTGATTAACTACCGAGTTTCATTATTTAGACTTCACAAATCTGTATGGTAAATGTGAAATCGGACTCCTATAAATCCAATTTGAAACAAATTAATAGGAAAGTAGCAATTTTTTTATCGTGGTTTAAGTATGAAATATTTACTATCCGTCTGCTAAAGCTTTAGTTTTATTGCGTCTCGTTAAACGAAAGATAAAGTATATAAAAGACGCTATTATAATACCAAAGGTTTTACGGTTTGAGTGATAGGATTTCTTTGCAAATGAATTTCTCTTGCAAACTTCCCACACTCTTAGCAAGCCTACTTTAGAAAAAGCCTACGCAGTCCTACGTGTATAATACAATATGTGCAAGATTTACATGAGCGGTATACCGGCGTGCACATGTCCGGGGGCAGCAAGAGTTGATTCGGTGAAGAGGTCCTGCCCGTCGGCTGGACTCTTTTCGTGCTGAGTTTTTCGTCTTAACACCCCCAGGATGTGACCTGCAAGAAAACAAATATAGTTACAATCTGATTAGAACGTATTCCTTTAGTTTTTATTCCGCTACATTTGAGTTTCGAGATACCCTAACTAAATTAATTAAATAAGCGAGAAGAGTAACTTTTGGTGTAAAAAACGTCTCATTTATTCAAAATTAATTATGAAGGCTGAGTTTTGCGAAGTAAAATTGTTAAAATGAAAGTTTCTGGCATATCTTGCCGATAAATGTAAAGGGGCGCTGTGAGGACTGAGTCGATTGATTGTTTGTTACTGAATTATAGTAAACGAATATCTTGAAGTAGAGCTAAACAGAAACTTGGTACACCTCTTGCATCTTTATAGGCGATTATTTTTAGTGGGAGACCGGTGTTTGTAGAAAGGTGAATCTCAAAGGATTAATTAATTTACGTGTAAAGAGGGGGTTTAGAAACTCTCCGTCGAGTACTTTAATAAGCTTTAAAACACACTGGTGTTTGCAAGCGTACCTATTAAAATGACGTGATTACTGTAATTTTGGGATCTAGACGACTACGTAACTAAAATCAAGTAAATCCGTTTGTTAGTCCTCCGTGACACCAAAATTGGTTGTCCAAAGATTTATAACGGTTTGGTTTTGGCGCAAACCAGGACCGGTATTGCTCCGGTCTAGCTCTACTCTGGAGGCGAGGGTCACTCAGCTCAGGGATTCGCGGGGGTAGATTGACAAGAAGCGCCACTGTGTTTTAAAGGAAAAGGAAGGAAAGGGACTAAACACAGAAAATCCTGAAAGAGAATACAGAAGGATAGGCAACAAAACAAGTAAATACGACCATAAATGTACCACAGTTACGTTTGGGTAAATTTTAATAATTCATAAATAAATCGTAGTATTCACAAATGGAATAATCCGGCCATTAAAATTAAAATTAAGTGCAAAGAGGAAGGAAGAAGGTTAGGGAAATGAACGACGGTACAGCGAAATTTTGTTTGGGTCGCAACCAAGTGATGTTGAATATACAGGGTGATTCCTATAGTACCTGCCACCGTTTGGGAGCGTGTAGGTGGTGCGTAGGGGAGTATTTTGATATAGGACACTTGGGGTCGGAAATTTAAAATAAGGGTGCCAGAGCCAAATTTACCTTCTGGAATTTCGCGCCTGTAGGTAGGCAACCCAACCGGCCGGCGGTGCACACGGAGCGATCTCAGGCGGCGATGTGTGGCTGACACTTGATTAGAATTTTGTTTAAACCCACGAAATCCCGTCTGCAACGACGCGTATCAAGTGAATAAAACTATGGCAATAGTATAATAATAGTTGGCTAGATGTAGGAAGTGCATTGAGAACAACGGTGGCCACGTTGAACACTTGTAAACGTTATTGCTTTTGACTGTCGTTTTCCCTCCTTTCCTCCCATGTCGCTTCCTCGCGCTAACTCGCTCTGCATCGCTCCGCGCGAAACGTCGGTCGGTTGGGTTGCCTACATACAGGCGTGAAATTCCAGAAGAAAAATTTGGTTCTGGCGCCCTTATTTTAGATTTCCGACCCCAAGTGTCCTATATCAAAATACTCCCCTAGGCACCCCCTATACGCTCCCAAACGGTGGCAGGTACTATAGGAATCACCCTGTATATATAAACCAATTTCATAAATAAACCAAAAAAAAGGTAAATGACGCACAGGGACCTGGCGGTAAATAAAAAGGCCTTTTCTTTACACGGGTACCCTAAAACACCCCTGACAGCGGGTATTCTACAACAAGGAAATTTTGGGGTGCTCCTTGGTGTACTCCTTACACTTTTACTTGTTGGGTGTCAAGGTATGACAGATGTATTGTTTACATATAGCGACAAAAAGTGACAGTGCTAGTAGTGGTTATGTTAACCGGAAAGATTTACAATAATAACATAAATGAAAGAATCGTTGGGTACACAAAATTATAGGTCAAATGTAAGTACTGTTTTATAAATAAATAGAGGAACGTAACCTCATTATAATTAAGATTGTAGGACAACACTAGGACACACACACAGCATGATACTATAATAATCAGATATGCTCAACTGGCGAACGAATTTAGAACTTGTTTGCGCATTACGTCATCGGGTGACAAATTTAAATTTTGTTGTCGCTTGTCGCCAATGAATATTAAGAGAGATTTACACAGTAACATTTTTATGAACATTTCCGCGGTTGTAAAGTGCATAACAAATGTGGCACAGGAAATGAAATGATTATTATAGTATCATGCACACACAGAGGCGGTTTGACCTTGCCCGTGAGGACGATCAAGCTGGAGGTAAGGACTGGCTACCGGACATCTACTTCCTTTGCTGGTTGTAGTGGTTACTCCGTTACACTAAACGGACAGTGGCAGGATAGCACGTCGACTCGGAATGTAACCGGTGATCCAGGTATCGTTGGTCGGCAAGATATCAGTCGTAGAGAGAGAGAAAACACACGGAAGAGGGTACGTTCACGACTAACGTGACGTAAATACACCTAACTTTTAGGTACGGGATGTCGTCATTGGACGTACCAACAATCCACACAAAAAGCTGTAAGGAACATATATAAGAGAAGGTAAAAAGCAATAGAACATACCTCTTAAGGTGGTAATCGAGCTAAAAGTAGACGCCAACCCCCATGTGGTTACAGAACCGCAAAGCGAAAATCCAAAAATACTACCACAGAGCTACCAAGACGTTTCCAATGGATAGTAAAGTTGAAATATAACACCAATAAACTCGGAGATCCTTAAATAATTAAGGGATGCAAATTTTCAAGCGTATTGATAAAACCCATGCAGGACAGACGATTGTCAAATCAAAAAGTGACCGGAAAAGAAGATAAAAGGTAAAGGAATTTTATCACAAGGACAAGGACAATACTGGTTTTTAAAATTTAAATACTGAATCTGTACTGTATTCTAACAGGCAACCAACCATACATACGGAAGAAACATAGGGAACGAAACAAACTGTTATAGATTGCCAAGTATTTTCGAGGAGCAATTTCTACACTCAAGTCCTTGTTTTCGAAGTGGATCCAGTGTATTTATAAGTAGGTATTCAAACTAACCAAAGTATACTTAACAATGGGATGGGTTCAGTGCCATAATTTAGTCATTGGCATATTGGATTTTTTACTTTGCCGTAGGGCGAAAAAACCATAAAGCACTTTCTACAGTTTTGGCTCATAAGTCGTTGTTCAAATAATTCTTACACGTGAAAACAGTATTGAAATAGTCCGAAAAAATAAAAAAATACAAGCTACGCGCCAAATTGCAGTGCAGATAACCGTAATTTTTGTATTGTTTATTTCTCAAGAGGTCATCTATAATTTTGTCGTATACACTGGTGTGCTACTCCTTAGTCTACCTGCGGATTTCATGTTACAGTGCTGCATTAATCTTTTAGTTTTCGTTGTTCGACCTGACCCAAACACATTTCTCACCATCCTCCGCGGTTACTGAAAGATTCAACTGGCCCCTTAATGCGGAGTTGTTTGAATCGATCGGAAGAATTCTTTAAGTGTGTATGCCAGGTTAATCCTAGCCGGCCTTATTTGGAAACCTTAAGGGCACTATAACGTTCCATTTTAAGGAAAGCCACATGATACACCCCCTTTGTCGAGGTACTTAAAATAAGCGTCCGTTCTTGTGTTCCTGAGTGTACCTCTTCACCTTCGTAAATAATTGTCTAATTTCAGCCAATTAGTCGGTATGAGTCCTAACTTCAGACGCTGAGCATAAACCACCGGTTGAATAAAACGCACATGGAGGGTTACTTTATTTGACCTCCATCACATCCGGCCTTTGACCGCCCCCGCGTGAACGGTGTCTCGCCAACCGACCCGTCTGATCCTTCTTAGCTGATGCAACTAAGGTTGCCTATGTTGTAATACCATATTTGTATAATTCGTAATTAACACCATCTTTTTGCCTCCATCTTTTCATGTACAATTGATTAATTGAATTAAAAATGTAAAAATTTACACTACTCACAAAACACCTGCCCAGCTAGCTCAAAACAAAACATACTCATAGTTGAAACTTTAATCACTCCTCGTACATCTCCGGCATCTGTTAGGTTAGAAGAAATTTCAATGTTGAGGTTAAATTAACAATTTGGGACACTCAGTAGCCTCAAAAATTCCAAACAATTTATTACACAACTTTTGATTAACACAGGAAATAATTCTTGGGCACCAATAGAAAAATATTGACATGAAAAACTCTACCCGGGTCGCATAACGCAATCCAATAAACCCACAATTAATTGATTGAAAATGAGAGAAATTTATTCCGAAGCACATAAGAAAAAATTCAAACAAAATCGCAGAAAGAAAGAAAAGCTTACAAATCTTGTTTGGGCATATTACCCCGTACGCACGCGGGCGACAAATAAAATAAAAACCTTAAATTACGTACAGTTTTTTCTTAATAACCCAAACAATCTGGTCGGACAAGGTTTACCTATATTCAGGTGCATTTTAACTGACTCACAAACGCTGACAGCTTCTGGACTCTAAATTGTTCTTGATAACACTGAACTTCATGACAAAGAAAGCTGGCGTGATGAATAAGAATTTTCGATAGCTGTTAGGACGGTTGAAAACTTTTACCTTTTAATATGAAGAGAACATTAACAAAAGGCCTAACTGTACTACAACTGCTTGCTTCTTCACCTCGACGAAACTTTTTCCTTAACGGACAACACACGTTAAACTTCTTACACCACTTTATTATAAATCTGACTGCGTCTTCAACAAAACAAATAGAGACTGCCCGTAAAAAAAACTTTCGTAACCAAATAGACACGCTTTTCAATTTCCATGAGACCGACAGTAGCAGTCACATTCGCCTCACTCACTCGTTGTCTCCAGTATTTAAGGAAACACCACTTCCACCATCAAATAGAATCTCTTTTTTTACAAATTTAAAATAACTCGCCAATCACGGCGGAATGTGCCAAACGTCCCTACTCATCCAAAATCAAACGCGCAATTATGCGTAAAATACACA